GCGATTCCCTTTGCTTGCTCGTCAGTTTCACATTCGATTTCTGCATCTCCAGTCTCGATGTCCTTGCCTTTATCAAGCCAATCATAAATCCAGTGTGGGAAGTACTGGCTAGATTCTTGGTCGTTTCTCATTATGTTCCTATTCATGCCAACCATTTCCATAAGCAGCATCCCGAAGCTGTATACATCGGCCTTATATGAAACCCCTCCAATAGTTCTGTTGATGAGTTCAGGAGCCACATACCCTATCGTCCCCCGAGCGGCCGTGAGAGTCACCGTATTGTCATTGACGGCGTACAATCTCGCGAGCCCGAAATCGGATATTTTAGGCGTGAATTTGTCGTCAAGAAGTATGTTGTGAGGTTTGATGTCGAAATGGAGGATTTGGATGTCACACCCTCGGTGCAGATACTCTATTCCCTTTGCCACTCCAATTGCAATCTCGTATTTTTTCTCCCAGCTCAGAAGGTTCCGACTTTCCTCCGGCCGGGTAAATATGTACCGCTCGAGGGAGCCGTTGGGCATAAAGTCGAACACGAGGGCTCGTCTGTTGGATAGTCTTCCCGCGTAGTATCCGACGAGTTTGACCACATTGACATGGTGGATCCTCCCGATGGAGGCAATCTCATTGATGAAGTCTTGTCCGTTATCTTTTCTGGAGTTTTTGTTGTCGAGTAGTTTGATAGCCACAGTGTGGCCGCTTCGAAGCTTTCCTTTGTAGACCGAACCGTAGCCACCTTGGCCGAGCTTGTCACGAAAGCCACTCGTCATTTTCTTGATGTCTTTGTATGAGTAGCGGATGGGCATGAGGTCGTTATTACTCTGTAGGAAGGATTCTATGAAGTCGAATGTCGACAAATGCCTTCTCCGAATTTTGTAGATGAGTAGCCAAAGCACGCAAGCTATTCCGATGATGATTCTTAGGGCAAGGTTGAGCATAGCTGCATATGCTAAAAGGAAACATAAGGTTTATTGAGTTAGCATATACTATTGCTCGGTTGAATTTCTGACACCTTTATATTATTACACTAGTACAACATCATTGAACTACACGGGTGTTTCATAAAAAACTGATTGTCCTAACAAAAAGTGAAAAAAATGAAATTTTTAATAAATATTTAATAAGAATGTAATTTCTTTTAATATTATTTCGAATTCTAGAAAATAAATTTATGAAGTGTTATTTTTTATTTAATATATTTATTTTTGTCAAATTAAATAGAATAATTAGTTTACTCGACAATTAATAACGCCCGTGAATATAACGGGCGCTTAAAAGTTAAATATTTGTATCAAAATAAAGAAGTGAAGAAATGTATATTCTTAAGTAGAATGATAACAAATTAAATATATGACTAATAACTTAAAAATAACAAAATTAATAATACCCTTGTTTTATATTCAATTTGTGAAAATGATAATTTTCTTAAACCCCCATCATTTT